GTGCTCATCATCTCTCTCTCTCTCTCTCTCAATTATCAACTTCCTCCTCTCTCCTATTTTCTCTCTCTTAGCTAACTCAATTCCCCATGGTTCTCACTACCAAATTCAATCCCCTAAATTCATTCCCCCATCGCTCCGACTACCAAACTAAATACATCAAATTCATCCCCCTCTCTCCTCTTCCCCTCCTCTTCATTTTTCTCTCTTCCCAAACTCAAGTCCTATATATGACTATCACCAGCTTGAACCGATAAAAATGAAAAAACCAGGTGATCTTTGACGATTTGGTTCGATTCTATATTCTGTATTCAGTTTGGTGCAGCTTGTGATTCGTTCAGCTCATCGCTCTATGTATACCTATTTACTCTCATCTCCTATTTCACTAGTTTATTTCTTACATAATTTTACTAGTAAAACTTTAAGATTTCTCCACTATATATAAAGATATTAGTCTTTACTAATAAAAGATTTCTCCACTACGAAGATACTACTAGCTAGTCAACGAAGCCGAAGCCTCACGCTGGCTATTCATGAATTAAACACATCAAGGAATATGTATTTTCTTTCTACAACCCTAAGTTTCCGACTATTGTCGCCCTTATTGTTTAGTTTTACTTATTTTTAACTTTTTGTTGCTCATCCTCCCGTTACCTCTAAATGTCTCAAAACACGAGAGAACATTTTCTCATAAAAATGGTGATATATTAGTAATGCTCTTGCAAGGTCCAAACTGAAATAACCAACCAAACTGAACAAAAATAATTTACATTTCGATGTTAAACTCAGTTGTTAATTTTAAAAGTTGATTGTTAATCTTATGAGTTACTTGTTAGATCTTTTAATTAGATGTTAAACTTATCAGCTAGTTGTTAATTTTAAAAGTTGACTATCAATCTTATGAGTTGCTTGTTAGATTTATTGGTTTTATTAATTTTAAATATTGGTTGTTAATCTTATGAGCTACTTGTTAGACTTATTGATTGAATATTAAACTTATCAATATCAGCTGTTAACTTATTTATTAGATTTAAAACTTTAATGTTAAGAAAAAATGTAAACGGTCTTTTATGTAGATAAATATCACATGATAACCAACTATGTATATACAATTGTGATAACAAAAGAGTCAAGTGATACATTCACCATCGCCTTTACCAACATATTCCTCATCATCTTAATCGAGTTATCCCTTTCATTTTTTCTCTCCCCCTTCAATAATTAGCAGCAAGCCCTGAGAATACATAGACGTAAAAGCAATTGTACCTATAAATACAAGTAAATGTATTTATATCTAACTTCTATCTTTAACAACCGATAAAAAACTTAACATTTAACTTCTGATTTCAAATTAACAACTAACCTCTAAAGTTAACAATTAACTTTTAATGTTAAGGTTAACAACATAGAGAGAGAGACTCTCACCGGTGCACATAATCTAACTAAAAAATATGGTAGGATCATTAATTAGGGTAAAATGGAGAAAAGAAAATCGGTTTAAATCATTGTTGACGTGGCAAACATACTTAGGGCCAAATACGTTTGCCTTTTTTTGCTTTTGGGATGGAATGAGATCGCACGTTGACTAAGTCATGGGGTTGAACACATTCACTTTATAAGAAAGGGGCCTCAGGGTATTTTTCCTATATTAGAATCCTGATGTGACCTTACTAACTGACGTGATTGGATTTAGACGATATGACACAATAACATGATAGATTTATTAACTTATCATGTGGTTTTGAAGATGAGTGGTGTTAGGGGCACACCCCCTACCACACCACCCATCACACCCCCCTCTCCCATCGTTACAGTAAACCGGGCTTCACATGGGATTTTAAAAAATTTAAAATCTTATGTGAGGCCCGGTTTACTGTAGTGATGGGAGAGGGGGGTGTGGTTGGTGGTGTGTTAGGGGTTATGCCCCTAACATTATTTTTTGAAGATATAGATGGTTAGTAGGATGATTATTAGCTTTAATTGTATGAAAACATAGTTTTTTTTTGTTGTGAATGAGTTTGAAACATACAAAACATTTCCCAAATTTTCATCGACGATGAAGAAAAATGCCTAATTGCAGAAAAATGACTTCTAATACCAAAAAGCTACCGGATAGACTTTTAATATCAAATTGGTTAAAAGTAGTTATAGAATTCAAATTGATAATTTAGCCGATAAAAACCAAATAAAAACAGTTCTTAAATTAAAAAGTAAATGATGGAGCCTAGGTTTTCAATGTTTTTAAATTTCATTTTCTGTTTTAATCTCCTCCAGAACAAATGGTGAGTCTACAAGACAAGATCTGCCTGTAAACTAAAATCAAATTTCAATTTAATTTAATTAATCATTTTATGTAAAAGAGGAAACAAAATTAATTAAATCATATTTTAATCCAATTCTTCCCCTCTTTAACTATCGCTCCCATGCACCACCACATTCTAACCCTAATCTCCCCCAAAAAAAACCCTAACATTAACCTAGAATTTTCATTTTTCCTATTAAAAATTTCATCTTTTGGGGAAATAGCAGTGCATGGGAGCGTTTCAATGTCAATTTCGACGCTTTACATCGGTGACCTTCATCCGAATGTGATAGATGGGACCCTCTTTGAGCATTTTTCTTTGACCGGCAGCGTTACCTTTGTTAGATTCTGTAGGGATTCCATTACCGGGAGATCTCTTGGTTATGGCTATGTGAGCTATGCCAATGTTCAAGATGGTATAATTTCCCCCCCTAATTTTGGGTTTTTTTTGTTATTTCTTCTAATAGGGTCAGTGGCGGAGCTAGGGCTTCCTTGCCCTGGGCAGCTGCCCAGGGCAAGAATGCGGCCGGCGATGATGGTGGAGCCGGGCTGCCAGAGCTAGAGCTTGTGCTTGGGGTGGCTACCGCCGGCCCCGCCGGAGCGACATTGCTTGGGTCTATTAGCTGGATTGAATGATCGAATGAGATGTGATTGAAGTGAAATTTGAAGAGATGGGGATCTCGAGTTTTATTTTGCTACTCTATGAAATTGAGAGCTTCTCTCAAATTGTAGGTGTATTTAAATCCAGCGACTGTTCTTCTCAGCCTCCTCTATTTCCTCTTGCTCGCCACAATCCCTTTATTTTTCGCTCAGGGCAAAAAAAATTCCGGCTACGCCACTGAATAGGATTGTACCTTGAATCGATTTCTCATCATGTGGCTACATTGAGGTTGAAAAGTTGATTTTTTTTTGGCCTTTTGGGTCCGTTGCGTGGATTTGAGAGAAATTTTCATTTTGTTAGATTGCTTTTGATTCTACATTAACATTTAACAGCACTTGCATGGCACACGAGTCAAATATTTTAATTGTTTGTTTTGAGTTTATATCTTCACCATAACTTTATTGTGGACATAATTATTTTATATCTTGAATTTGTTTTGTGAACAGAAAAAAATAAGAAAGTTAAGATAATTAGTATTTTTTTAGTTCAGTGAAGAAGCATGTGAGGCATGCAGAATGAAATTGGAGTCAAGACAATCTTTTGTTGTTTTTAGATTGTTTTGATTTTGTCGGTGTTGATTTTATTGTTATGAGAGGAAAACCGTTTATTTGTTATTCTGTGTGAATACATACAAGAAATATTGGTAATTATGTATTGTTTGTAAATTATGTATATCCTTAACAGTAAAACTTGACCACGTTCAACACACGTGCATCCTGACTAATTGCTCGACTAGTTGTCCTAAAATTAAGCAGTTTCCATGTAGAGGGACTAATTTAAAGCCGGATTGGGATCCTCTACTCATGGATCCCCTCCTAATATCTCCTAATGAGGAGATCTTGGCCATCAATCTATCCATGGACGGCCAAGATCTCATCCTCCTCCCCCTCCTACTTCTCCTCATGAGGAGAATCTTGGCCGTCCATGGATAGATTGATGGCCAAGATCTTATGAGGAAATATTAGGAGGTGTCCATGAGTAGAGGATCTCAATCTTTTAAAGCCATTTATAAGATCTGGGAATAGCAATTTCAATGATTTCAGCAACTAATTTCAACAAATTACAGAACATAGGGACTATATATTGGGAAAACCCCTCCTTACAACATCTTTTGCACATAACCCCGCGACTACTTATTTCACTACTCTCAACCCCCTTACCGCTCCACCTATAAAGCCCTTCAAGCCATAAAACCCTCTCAAAAAACTTTCTCCCAAAATCTCGCGCCCAAACAAAAACAAGAAACAAAAAAGAGAACAAAATCAATCCCAAGAAACAAAAACAATGAATTCTCCCTCCAATCTCCTCGACGATGCCCTAGGCCCAATCCCCGGCCCAGTAATCCTCGTCGAGGACCGGGTCGAGACGAGCGGCGCCTTTGTCCTCCACCACCTCCTGAAGCGCTCTCTCGCCGCCGACGCAGGCGGCGCCGTCGTATTCCTCGCCCTCGCGCAGACCTTCTCTCATTACGACCGAATCATGAGGAAAATGGTGATTTTGGGTGATTTTGTTTTGGGTATTTCTCTTTGGCATTTCATCGAACAGATTGTGTTCTGTAGGGTTACAATTTGTCGGCGCAGCGGGAGAATAAGAAGGTGCTGTTTCTTGATATGATGAAGTTAGAGTACCCTTCTGAGCATAAAGGTAGAGTCTTTTACCTTTTTTCATTTGGGGGTAATTGCAAATATTCCCTGTATTTTAGAGGGTTAACATTTTTTTTTGGGGCAAGTTGCGGATAACATCTCTCGTTTATGCATTCAGTTGCATTTGTCACCAGGCAACTAGCTTAGTAGCACTTAATGCCCCTGAATTCACATTTTGAGAAGAATAAATTACAGATAACCGTCCTCTCTTTTATGAATTGAGGGAAGTTCAGTGCTAATAAATGAGGTGGGACCTGATAAATGTTACTGAAGGTATCGGTGAGGGGTTTATTGCAGTTTACACTTTCTGTATTAGCACTATGGCCTCCTCATATCCAAATGGAGTTGTCTCTCTGTTATGTGTATGTGTTGTGTGACGTCAATATATTGTCGAGAGATCTCATGATATCCATGTGTTGTAAAGAGAGCTCGTCCTCTTATAATGTTGAACATACACTCCCTATAGCATATGTGCAAATAGCGGAAAAATAACTCCACTCAGACACCAAGGGATCAAAGTGCTAATAAAAATTCACAGGTGACAAGTTGCTGACCCCCACGAATAAAGGGGGTGTATATGCAAGGAAACCATTTATTTGTTTGTTTGTTTGTTTGTTTGTTTTTTGCTTTTTCTTATTTTTTGTTTTTTTTTGTTTTGTGTGTGTGTGGTTTTGTAACATGATTTTATACAATTGAAGATGGCCTTATTGGGTTGTATGCGAAGATTCAAAGCGCTATAGAATCAAGATCTTCAAAGGAGAACATTACGATCATGATAGATGACATCTCTCTCTTGGAGATTGCAGCTCGTGGTTCTGCAGATGATGTGTTAGATTTTATGCACTATTGTGTTGCTTTGACTTCTGAATTGGTTAGAGATTTGTCTTTTGAGTTTGATTGATATAGTGATAATATTTTTTTTACCCTCATAATCATGCTTTTGAATTGTTGTATGTTAGGGATGCTCTCTTGTAATTCTGAATCATGAAGATATATATCCTAGTGGAGAGGAACCACCACCGACGTTACATTCAAATTTGGAATACCTTGCAGATGTTGTGGTAAAGACAGAGCCATTGTTGACTGGTTTAGCTGTTGATGTTCATGGACAGGTGTGTTTCTTTTTTTAGATAAGCTCGATAATCATTTATTTGATGGCATGTATATATTTTCTTCATGTGTGCTATAGTGTCGTAAAGAATAAAACATGAAATACACATATTAGACTTAGTCTATGATTTGAAGGCATGGTCATGAGTGTCGCACACTGCCATGAAGATAAGTTGTCAGACATGGGAAACTTCAAAATATAAATATGGAGAATAAACTACATGGGGTTAATTGTAGATACAACCAATGTATTATCTGGGTGTATCCAATTATACCCCCTAAACTCTTTCTATTATCACTAACACTCTTTGAACTCCAGGCTACATTATTTCTTCAGTTTGGTTGATGTCACATGGGAATCATGTACTGATAAATTATTTTCGTGCTCCAATTAATTGAAAAAGGCTAAATTGCCATCTAAATTGAGGGCAAAAAGTAAATGCGTCTGAGGTTCAGAGTTGTAGGCGTTAATAAAAGAGTTTATGGGGTAAGCGGCTACACCATAATAGTACAATTGGTGTATTTGCAATTCACGCAGTATGTTGTTTTTCAAATATTTCATATTTTGCCACACTTAAGAATGTAACAAGTCTCTACCTCACCCATATCTGCCACCTGTCCTTACTAGGCAAAAAATCATAAAAAGGTTTTCAAGTCTCAACCCACTTTCATCATTCTCAATCTCCCAATCTCACACCATAAATTGCCCCTCTCCTCAGAGTTCAAAGACTCGCTAAAATGTTTAACTCTCTTTCAAGTTCTTTTATTCCCAATTTATACCTTGCCATCCCTCTAGCGCCGTGCATTTCAGTGGATTTATGGAGTTCTGGGAGGAAATTTTGGAGGATGAGAGTTATGGCCATGTGCATATTATTTGCCTCAAGATTTATTCTGTGACACATATAAAAGGTATCCTATGTCTACATTCAAATCCGTAATTGATATCCATGACAGTCTTTTTAGACATCATATGAAATGCCTTGAGACTTCTACCCTCAGGCGCGTAAAAAATGTAGGTCAAGATCCTGCATACGGATTTTCTTATTTTATGCTGGGGTTTAACATGCTTTAGATTTATCAATTAATCATTTTGTTCATAGTGAAATTTTTATGTTGATGGAAAACCATAAATTTTTTTTTGAGTCATATGAATTTTTTTGCAAAGTATTTTTTCCTTCTTATCATAAAAACATTTCCTACTTAAGTCAGCTGCTCTTTCCTGGTTTTTCTTCTCCTCTATGTTCGTTTCACTTTTACTTCTCTTCTTATTTTGATCCAAATGAAGACTAGAGATAGTTTCCTTGCATTTTTCTGAAAAATTTCCTGTTTGACTCTACTAATATTTGCAATTTCAGTTGATCTTTAGAGTTAGAGAACAACATTGCTGGATAGAACTGAACTTAAATTTTCTTATATTGGAAGCTTTAGACATGTTGCAAAGAATATAAATATCAGTTTGCTGCTTATGCTTCCTTCTAACTTGAATTGCATCTTTGTAACAGCTGACAATCATAAGAAAGGTGGTTTTGAATGAGAAGGGTTATTCTGCAAGCAAGATCAGTAATTTTCACTTCAAAGTGAAGGAAAATGGTGTGGAATACTTCCATCCAGGGAGCCAACGTTGAGAGAACTACTATTAATGACGGGTCAATAACAATGTATCTTTATCTCGTTTGTTATGTGCAATGACTTCGTCGTCAGGCTAACATTCTTCTTCTTCTTCTTCTTCTTTTAGAAGTTTTTAAGTTAGCACCATATGTATGTATGAGTCTTGATCAATTGCTTGCTACAACTATTTTGGATGCTTAATGCTAATGCACTTTGTTCCTTCTACCATTGTCTTTTTAATATTTCTTTTCCAAGGTTTGTTGCTCTTGAGAATTGAGATCCCTGCGCTGTAGGGGTGCAACTTTATCTCTTGGGAGATTGCTCGTAACATTTGTTGCTGAAACATTTGTGATGTTGAATTCAATTTGGTTGAATTTGGCCTTTTCCATGGTGATCCATAAAGTAATTCTAAATTCCAGCCATTATATTATTTTTTGTCTAAAAATTTATTTATTTTTAAAGTTTTCCGGTTGCACTTTCCAAGCCACTAATATCTCATTATGACATAAGGCAGCCTTGAAGAAAAATTATTAGTTTGTTATGAGAAAGTATCTAGTTGAGACCGTCCATGATATTAAATATGCACTCAAAGGATGATGATTCATGTATTTGTGCACAAAATTTGAAATTCAATGATCCAGCTTACATTCATTTGGTGCACAACTGCACATCTAATATCATGCACCCGGATACATTTGATACAATTCCATTTGGAATATAATCATACTTAGGGGTGTCCAAAAAGCCCGCGGCCCCGGCCCGGGTCGGCGCAAAGTTGCCCGGTCCGGAACCGGGCCCGACCCGGAACAGCTTGCCGAGCCGCCGGGGCCAAGCGGCCAGGCGGCCAGTTCCCGGCTGCCGGGCCGGGCGGGCTCGACCTAGGCCAACACGGTCACCCTGGGGAGATGAAAAAAACCGGCCGGGCCGGGTCGGCCGCGCAACGGCCTCCAGTCATTAATTTATATTGACAGTTGGCGAAAAATGGCGGGACAGGCCGGGCCGGGCTGACCCGGCCCGGCCCGGTGCCAACGGTCACAATTTGTGACCGTTGGCCGGATATGGCCGGGCCGGGCCAGCCCGGCCTGGCCCGGTCATTTTTGACCGTTTATTCCGGGCCGGGTCGGGCCGGCCAAACGGTCATATTTGGCCGTTTGACCGATTTGCCCCTTAAAACGGTCAAAAACAGCTAGAATATGAGGTTTTTTTGGTCATTTGCCTAGGGGGCTGCCTCTATAAATAGAGGGGGGTTTTCACTTCTTCTCCTCACACCAAAACACTTCTACTTCTCTCTTATACAATATTATACTCTCTTATAATCTCTTATATTTTCTAATACTTCTATCAAATGGCTTCTGAATCTGATTATGAAGAACAACACCTACCTCCTACCGATCCAGAAATGAGTCCTCCTACAACAACTACTACTCCTCCTACCGGTGTTAATCCTGAATCTGGCGATGACGAATCTACTGCACCAAGAGCTCCTAAAAGGCCGAGATCCGATATGTGGAATTTTTTAAGAATTAGACGTCACCAAGGATGAACACGATAGGATCATCTCCCAGAAGGCAAAATGTGCGTTGTGCGACCAGGTTTTCCAAGCGCATCATAAGAGCGGCACCAACCATTTCAAACGCCATATAGAAAAACACAACAAAGGCCAGAATCTTTAAGGTGATATCCGACAGTTTATGATTTCCTAATCCTCCTCTTCTGGTACCCTCAGTAGTTGGAATTATGACGCTGCCCGAGCTAGGAAATGTGTAATCAGATTTATTGTTCTTAAAAACCTGCCTTTTAAATTAGTAGAAGATGATGAATTTGAAGATTTGTTTAGAGATGGTTTTTATCCTGCATTTACAAAATTTTCTCGTCAAACCTGTTAACGTGATATTTTAAAATATTATCAGAAGGAACAAGGAAAAATAATTTCTTATTTTAAAAATTTAAACTGTAAATTTTCTTTAAATTCTTATATTTGGACATCTAGAGTACAAACTGGTTATTTATGTATCACAACACACTGGATTGATGAAAATTAGCAAATGTTTAGAAGAGTTATTTCTTTTATTGCAATTGAAGAGTCACACACTGGTATTAATATTGCAAATTTAATAATTGAAGAACTTATGAAACTAGAAATTGATCAAAGAATATTTTCTCTTTCACTAGATAATGCAAGTAATAACAATATAGCTGTTGATTTTATTAAAACAACTCTGTCATTACCATATCATGGTGACCTTTTTCATGTTAGATGTATCTGCCATATTTTAAATTTAATTGTTCAAATTGTATTTTCTGAAATTAAACCCATGATAGAAAAGGTTAGAACAGTTGCTAATATGCATAATGCTTCTGAAATGAGAATTAAAAGATGAAAACAATGTTGTAAAAGAAAAAATTATAAGCCTAGACTAATTCCAAAAGATGTTGACCATAGGTGGAATTCCACATATGCAATGTTAAGTGTAGCAATAGAATATAAAGAAATTATAAATGATTTTATAAATTTTTATGCTTCTAGTTCTAGCTCCGGTAGCACTTATGGAATAAGTGAAAATGAATGGAATATGTAAATTAAATGAGATGTTACAAGTTTTTTATGATGCTACTATGTTATTATCTGGTTGTTATTATCCAACTATTACTTTAGCTGCTTTACAAATTTTAAATATTTAAATTTTTTTGCCAAATATCGTATGGATGATATTTTTGGAAATATAATTTTTTAAATGGAGAGCAAATTTAATAAATATTTTAAGCCTATTCCTCATATTTTTGGTTTGGGGGTTCTTATTGATCCATGTTTGAAGGATATTGGTCTTCGAAGTTTGTTACAGTCATTGTATGGTGGACAAATTATAGACTTAGATGATGGTTCCACCCTTACTGCTACTTCTCATCATTTATCTATTAGAAATTATTTTTAAACATTATATGATGAGTATGCAGCTAGACATGGTGTAGCTGCACAACAGTCTACAGCTTCAGCGCCTTCGGCTTCGAGCACAGGTCGAGGTAAAAGTGTAAGTTTTGATATGTATGCAATAGTAGCTGAACTAACTAGTGGATCTGGAATTGGTTCAGGATTAGAGGTTTCTGAATTAGATGAATATTTTTCTGCTTCCTTAGTTAAATATCAAGGAATATAAAGATTAGATAATATTCATCAAATTATAATTTTTATTTCTTAGCTTTAAATTTGTAATGAATTATTTTAGAAAAAGTTACAAATGATAGTGATATGGGTGAGTAGGTGCCAACCTAGTTGGGATTTACTCATCTATTGTGATGCGATAAATTTCGAAATAAATTTATAATTATAAATAATTTACTGATTATTAATAAAGAAATTATTTTTATCATCTTTTATTTTTATAATTTTTTGTACTTGTAATTTATGTCATTTCAAGTTATTAAAAAAATTTATGTCATTTTCTGTAATTTTTATGTATATTTTATAATTTATTGTTTTTTAAAATTTAAAAAAAAATTAAAAAATGGGAAAAAACGGAGCGACCCGGAGCCCGGCCCGCTCAGGCCCGGGTCCGGGCTTCGGTTTTGCCCGGGCTGGTTTCCCGAGCCGGGCCGGTCCGGATGGACACCCCTAATCATACTTCCAACTTGCACGGAGCTAAAATTCAATTATTTGCATTTGGACTTTTCAAAAGCATGTTCTCGTTTTGTTTCTGCTATGAAGTATGTACGAGTACATGATTTTTTTTTCTTTTCTTTTTTTTCCTCAAAAAAAAAAAAGAAAAATTCATGTTGTCGTACATACTACATAGCAGAAACAAAACGACGCGGGAAGAAAGCGAACACACAGGGAAATAAACGGTCCAGATGATTCTGCGAAAAATGGACGGCAGATCTAAGCTTCTTCTCATAATATCTCAGCGAGAGAACGAGAGCCATTCTTCACCCGATACTCAAAAACGACTTCAAAACCCTAAAAAGAATCCAATCAAAATTTAATTGAAGTACAAATTCAACTGTATTTTTTTTTACCCAGGAAAGAAAATTTCTCCTGAATTCGAGGTTAGCAATGGATCTCTCAGTTGGGAGATTCACAGCCAGAATCCCTCTCAGGCTGCGCTGCTCGAAAGACGACTCTCGATCTCAGGACAAAGGGAAGAACGATAAAGGTGAATTTTGAGAAATTTTGAGTGATTATATTGTGTAAGATTGATGCAAGTTATTATTATTTTTCATTGCTCCTGATAGATGTTTTGATCATATGCTTGTATTAATGGTGTCGTAATTTAATTATAGAAAATTGAAAAAAAAAACCTGAATGTAAAAATGGAGTATAATCATCTTATTTCATTAATATAGAGAATGCCCTTAAAATTGCATCACGCAATTTAGCGGGAAACACATTATCTCTTTTTCTGTTTCCAATTTGGTTGGCTAAGCGACTTTGCGACGTAGAAGGGATTTCTGGTTTTTTTCACATTTTTGGACTACCTATTGTTGCTTGTAAGGAATTTTTATGAGTTTCTTTCCTGTCAATGACATAAGAGTAAACTTTTGAGTTGAAATCAGGATTAAATTATCATCAAATGCCTCAATTGGCAATTATATAAAGTCTATGATGGTTAAGGTCAAATGACATTATTCTGTGCTGGCCTAGTTAAATTTGAGTAGCGACCTGTTCTAGTAAAATCATGAGTCAAGTTGGTGAATAGGTATTCAACTAGAAACTTAACCTAAATGCAAACAATGTCCCTATTCCTTCGATCATCTTCACAAGTCGAGCTTTGCGTATCAAATTCAAATTTTTTTCTCGGTCTGAGGAGAATGTGAGAACGATAAAGGTACACAAATTTGAAACTTTTCAAATGATCATATGCAAACTTGTTGCAAATTAAATCTTTTTCGTTGCACCTTGTACATTTTTTTATAATATGCTTGTGCAACGAATGGTGTGATTTAGTTATAGCAAAATGATCATTTCATTTGTTTTCTTACGTTGTCTTCTACTTAATTAGTCATGGTAAATTAGTGGTAATTTGGCAATGCACAGATGAGAAAATTTTTCCCCAGATCGGTTGGGTAATTGAATTCAGGACATATTGGAGAATCTTGGTTTGTGTTAGTACACTCTGTTGCGTATCAGGCCAACTTGTAAGTAGTTGGTATATAAGTTTACTGTTCAAGATATAACAGTTAAACCTTTTGGGTTGAAACTAGTAGCCCATTATGAAATGCCTTAAATATACATTTCTTCCAAGTTTTGAGTTTTCCATAACATTTACAATGATTACAATGTCAAATTAAATCATTTGATGCTGGTTTTTTTTTTTTTTTAATTTGAGTAACAACTGTTCTGGTAAAACCGTCAGGCAAGTTAGTGAATGTCTATTGAACTAGGAACTTAACCTAAACAACTAGTTGCTAAGGGATTATCACCACAAGTTAAGTTTTGCATATGGATTGCATATTCTGTACTGTATGGTGGTAAGCAACCTACAAATTATTACGCGTTATTCGTTCTGTTGTTGTGTTTGCTTGTTCTATTTTTTTGGTTCTTACTATCATAATTATTGTTCTAACAATTCCTTTTCTTTCATTGTTTAAGAATAGAAAATGGTCATTATCCGTACTCAGTGTCTTATGATTGGAAAATGCTAGGACAAACCTAGAGCCCAATAGAACAAGGTCCCGATGAATAGTAGAGCAGAAGTAATAAAATGAACACACACATATTTACGTGGAAAACCCCCTAAATAAATTTGGGGTAAAAATCACGGGTAAGGATAGAAGAATCCACTATGAGGAAAATTTAGGAGTTATAGTTTCTCTTCTCAAGGAAAAACTCTCTCTAATTTTCTCTCTTTCTCTCTCCCTCTCTCTTTCTTTTCACTATTAATTGGAGACACTGGGACGATCAAAACTTACTGTCAGGAAGAGCTATATATATGTGAGTTTGCAGTAGGTGAGCGTTGTTGCTACATTGTTTGCTACAGTGTTGATATAGTAACATTTTAGTGTGTTTGCGTTAGGTGGTTACTGTAGCACATTGGTGATTACTGTAGCAGGTAGGTGGTACAATAATTTTTCGTCAATCTCCCACTTGAAGATTTGATTGAGTATCAATCATATCTTCACACCATTCTTTTTATCTTGCCATCTTCATGTTGCTCACGTTTCTGACAGATCACAAGAGGATCGACACCAAATAAATTTATTAGTATTGACTGCTTTTGTCAAAAAATCTGCTAGGTTGTCTTTGGTGTGAATTTTTTGAATATCCCCTGTTCCTTCTTCCACTTTCTCACGAACGAAGTGGTACTGAACTCGAATGTGTTTTGTCTTTAAATGAAAAACTGTATTTTTGCTAAATGCAAACACTCTGACTGTCACAAAATAGAGAAATCTTCTTTTGTTCATGTCCGAGTTCCTCCAGCAATATTTTCAACCATATCACCTCTTTACTAGCTTGTGTAGCTGCTACATATTCTGTTTCTGTTGTTGAAGTAGTCATAACTGACTGAAGTTTTGAAATTTAGCTTACAGCTCCGTCAGCAAGTGCAAACACATAGCCTGTGATGGATTTGCTATTATCACGATCACAATCTTACATGTTAAAACGCCACAATATTTTCTTCAAATAATTCTTCTGAGAAAACTAAATCTTCTTATTAATTCTGTCTCGGTAAATTTGCATCTCTAGAATCTTGTTTGCAGATCCTAAATCTTTCATTTTAAATTTCCTAGCTAACTGTGCCTTTAGTTCTTTGATACGATCTTTGTTGGGGCCTGCAACCAACATGTCGTTAATATCCAACAATAAGATAACAAAATTATTTTTACCAAACATCTTGAAATATGCACAAGGGTCTGAATTAAGTCTGTTGTATCCAAGGCTCATGATGAATAAATCAAATCTCTTATACTAACACCTCGGCGCCTGCTTTAGGCTGTACATAGATTTCTTCAATCTGTAAATCAAGTTCTCTTTTCCTTTTTCTTCAAAACCTTATGTTGGAACATGTAAATTTCTTCTTTAAGATCATCATGAAGAAATACTATTTTCGCATCTAGCTGCTCTAGATATAAGTCAAATATAACGCTCATAGCCAGGAGTATTCGGACTGTTGTAAGTTGAACTACAAGACAAAATATTTTATTAAAGTCAATACATTCTTTTTGTGCATATCCTTTTACCACCGATCTAACACGATATCGTTCCACTTGATCATCGTCATTTCGCTTGATCTTATAGACCCATTTATTTCTAATGGTCTTTCTTTCTTGTGGTAGTGATACAAGTATCAAAGTCTTATTCTTATGGAGAGCTTTAATTTCTTCATGCATTATTACCATTCACGAAGATGCATCTATGCTATTTATAGCTTCATAAAAAGTTGATGGCTCTCCATTCTCTGTTAGAAGATATTATGCAACATTACTCTCCGTAATATACTCCGAGTGTCAAATTGGTGGTCTTCTCTCACGAGTTGACCTTCGAACTTCTGGAGCCTCGGACTCGACTGGTTCTTGTACATCATGCTCTGCTGTGTTGCTTCAGAAGAATTTGGATCATTTTCTACCTGAACAACTACGGTCTCTGAGTCCTTCTTTGAACTGCTTTCTTTCTCTTCACTTTGTAGTTGGTTCTCTATAAAGATAACATCTCTGCTGACGATAACCTTACGGACAGTGGGATCCCATAAGTTATACCCCTTTACTCTATCAGCATATCCTAAGAATATGCATTTTCTAGATTTTGAATCCAGCTTTAAAATTTCTTAGATATTGTACATTATGTACACTGAGCTTCCAAATATATGGAGGTTGGAATAATCAGCTGGCTTGTCAGTCCACGTCTTCATCGACGTCTTTAATTGTATTACAGTTGATGAAGATCGATTCATCACATAACATGTAGTTTTTACTGATTCCGTCCAAAAGACTATCCAGATTTACAGTTGCTAACATTACTTTTGTTTTTTCTAACAGAGTTTTGTTCATCCGTTCCGTCACTCTATTTTGTTGAGGAGTATAAACAGTACTGAATTGTCTTTTGATGCCTTCTTGCTTGGAGAATGCAAGAAATTCACCGTCTGTGTATTCTCCTCCATTATCTAACCTCAAGCACTTGATCTTATTTTCAGATTCAAGCTCGAACTCATGCGTTATAGGCTTTAAATATTGAGAACACATCCGCTTTCTTCTTGATAGGATACACCTAACATCTCCTAGAGTAATCATCAATAAAGAACACAAAGTATTTTGCTTCTCCCATGGATGTAATTGGTGCTTTCCATACATCAAAATGAATCAGTTTTAAAATAGTCTTGCTTCTAAAACTCGATGGGTTGAACTTTAGCCGATGCTGCTTACTTGTAACATAATACTCGCAGAAGGGAAGAGCTATCGAAAGTCTAGGAAGCAACTTCTGATAGGAGAGAATCTTCAAGTCTCGTTCTGACATGTGACCTAGTTTGCGATGCCACATCATGATTTGTTTTTTTCTATGGCTAATTGATACCACACATGAATCAGCTTCCTGCAGGGTTTATCCCTTGAGCATGTATAGATTTACAGCTATCTTTTCTCCTTTTATCACAACAAGTGCCCCTCTTAACAAATTTTATGATCCCATTTTCTATATGAGTCTTGCACCCGAGCTTATCTAATTGTTCTAAAGACAACAGATTCTTCTTCAATCCCTTCACATGTCGCATATCTTGAATGGTGCGTATTGTACCATCAAACATTTTGATTTTGATAGTGTCAATACCAGAAATCTTTAAGACATGATCATTGCCCAGCCCATGAATACAGATCCTCCTGAGATAGGTTCATATTTATAGAATCATTCTCTTCGGAAGGTCAAGTGTCAGGAGGCTGCTGAATCTAGAAGGTAGACATTAGCAAATCTCTTTCTGCCTTCATCAACAATGGTTGCTCTACTGTATAGAATTTCACCATCATCTGACGTGCTGACAACGCATACTTGAGATGTTGATGGCTCTGAAGCCTTTTTATCTCTACTCTTCTTATTGTGCCAACACTCTGATTTCATGTGCTCTCTTTTGCTACAGTTGTAGCATTTGATAGTCTTCTTACTTCGTGATTTTGATCTACCATGGGTATGACTCCCACTAGAGCCACGTGCAATTGATCTTCCTTTCGTCACCGATAAGGTCTCCGTTTGTTGTGAACTTACCTACCTGTCTTCATTGTTCTTGCGTCGATTTTCTTCCTCCAGAACAGCGGCTATAATATCGTCGAAGACTAGATTGTCTATGAGGACGTTGTTTGTTAAGCTGATAATGAGCTGATCATACGAGTCAGATAGACTCTGAAGTAGAAATTTTGCACGTTCATTCACACCGATTGTATGCCCCAACATTGTGAGTTGGAAAAACAATGTTTAGGGTGTTGATGTGGTTGGTCATCGATGTAGATTCCGCTATCCTTAAGAGTGTAAAGTCTCATTTTCAAGAAGATTTTGTTGTGCCAGGATTTTGCCTTATATAGTTTTGTTAGAGTATCCCAGCTCTCCTTTGCTGTCTTCTTTTTTTGTATGCTTGACAGCACCCCATCTGCTAATGCTAGATGGAGATTTACAATAGCATTTCCCTTCATCTCATTTCACTTCTTATCATCTGTGATGTTATCTAGTCTTACACCGATGACCACTATGTAATTATTTTTTCTCAAGATAGTCTTTATCTTTAACTTTCATAGTGAGAAATTACTCCTGTTGAATTTCTCGATCTCGAACTTCGTCGTCATTGCTTCTACCATGAATAGTCTATGAAGCACGGATACTCCCCCGGAGGCCACGAATCCGTGTCCGACACGAATCAGACACGATTCGTGCTCGATACGTGCACGACACGTGTCGGACACGGTCAATCCGTGTCCGACACGAGTCAATGGTCAAACGAGGGGGACACGGTCAATCCAAGGGGGGACACAGTTGGGATTCGTGAACAAAAGGAAAAAAAATCCTGACGTCGAACAAAAAAATCCCACACGGTGAAAGACAACCCGAAACCCAAACCCAAACCCAAAACATTACCCTAAATCACTCACCCGAGTCCTACGCCGCCGCAGCTTCGTCCATCTCGTCTTCGCTCTCGCTAGGTCAGATCTCGTCGCTCGTCTTCTCTCTCTTGCTCCGGGGGCTCCACTCGTCACTGCTAGGTGACCTCGTCCTCGTCGATCTCGTCTTCTCTCTCTTGATCTCTTCGTCTTTCTCTCTATCTCTTCGTCTCTCTCTCGAAGTGGTGCTCCTCGTCCGGCATCTATCTCCTTCTTTCTCTTTTTACTCTCTCTTTGTTGAAGGGAAGAGTGAGAAAGCGAAAGCAATGGGGGAGGGGCAGATTATATGAGAGTTAGGGTTTGTGATTTGATGATGATGATTGAGGACCGTGGGATTGGTTTCTTGGTTCTGGGTTCGGGTCTATATTTGAGATCCTTATCCAATCCCGTTTCATTTTTCACTTTTTTTTTTCTTTTCTTGTTGCTGCTTCCGTTTCTTTTTTTCCTTTTTTTCTTTTTTTGAATGTTAAGTCATTTACTTATTTAACTATAACTGTTAAGCCATTTACTATTAACTGTTAATAGTTTCTTATTTAACTATAAAGCAATGTTTTTTAATGTTTAATTGTTAATGATTTGAGATAGTAAGCCACTAAACTTATTTTTAATTAATAATAGGTAATTATTAAAGTTTGGTTTGTGGACTATTTTGATTAATAATAGGAGAGATTTAATGAGAGATTTGTCTTTAACTGTTGAAATGTTAACTATTTTACAAAGAGAGATTTAAGGAGAGATTTGTCTTAACTGTTAACTGTTGGTTCTTTTTTATTATTATCACTGTTAAGTGTTAACTGTTTTTTTAGAACTAATTGCTTGTTTCTTATTAATACATATCGGTCATAATTGTTGAAAATGTGCTACTATTTGATTTCGTGTGTGAGACTGCGAGAGTACGAGTATTGATTCTTGCTATTTGAGCTAGGTGTAGTGGCGTAGTGCAACTAGTTGACTTGAAACTTGAAACTTGAAACTTGATTCGCCATTTGTAACCTATATAGAATAAAATAAAATTTAGCAATATAGTTGTTCGTGATGCAATATACTAGTATGAAAGTTTGAATAATTTGCAAGCTTGAATGAAAATTAACGTACAAGTTTAATACTTTAATTCACTAAATTTTTCTATAATAATAGTAATTTTAAAATAATTCTTTGCCGTATCCCCGTATCCTATTTTTTTGGATTTTGCCGTATCCCGTATCCGTGTCCGTGTCGTATCCGTGTCCCGTATCCGTATCCGTGCAACATAGCTGAATAGTAACTTCTTACTATTTTACGCAAACAATAACTGTATTTATGAACAATAACCGTATTTGTGAATAGTACCTACTAGTGAATAGTACCATATTTATGAACAATACAATACTCTTGAATAGTACCGTCGCCTTCAAAGGGTAAAGGATAATTTAACTTATTTTCTGATGTGGATGATCCATCTTTGGTGACAGCCACAGAGCATACGATAAGTAGATACAAGCACCCTAAACCAGGCTATGTTACTACTTGTTAGGACAAACCCAGGGCCTAATAGAGCAAGGTCTCGATGAATAGTAGAGTAGAAGTAATAAAATAAATACGTGAAAAACCCCCTAAATGAATTTGGGGTAAAAATCACGGGCAATGATAGAAGAATCCACTATGAGAAAAATTTAGGAATTACAATCTCTCTTCTCAAGAGAAACTTTCTCTAATTTTCTCTCTTTCTCTCTCCCTCTCTTTCTTTTCACTATTAATTGGAGACACTGGGATGATCAAAACTTAACGGCAGGGAAAGTTATATATAGGTGAGTTTGCGGTAGGTGAGCGCTGTTGCTATAATTTTACTACACTGTTGCTACAATAACATTTTACGCTAGGTGGTTACTGTAGAGCGTTAGGTGGTTATTGTGGCGGATAGGTGATACAGTAACTTTTCATCAGAAAATGCTAGAGGAATGTGTAATGTTGTTTGTGCTGCTCTTTTGTTTGTAAGTATTAATTGTCCACCGTGCTTCTAGAACTTTGTACTTGTTCTCTTTTCCATGATGTTTGACTGTTTTCCTCCTTATTATCTTCCGTTCTTAGATGGCAATACTTCACGAGATTATCTAGCCATGTTAATTGTCCTTTAGTGGTTTACTGTTGTATGTATGCCTTTCCATAACTGTTGGAAATAAAGATCCATCTTGAAAACACTTCAAACTGCAAGCAACTTGTCTTATAACAATCTTCCCACGGTCATGCACATTCCTAAGTTTTTACATTTCTATTCTTCATTTACTCATGAATATGCTTTTACGTTAAATCCTGCAATGGACATTAACAAACTCACCATTTTTCTTGCTCTTATATTTAGGTGATAGACTGTCTACAGACTGGGACAAGGCTTGGTCAAGCTTCAGAAAGCAAGGAAAAAAATCACTCTTCTCACAGTTCAATCCAGATAAATATGTGAGCTGGAATCCAAGGCGGTCTGAGTACCCATTATCTGAGGAGGTTGATCCCATCAAGCGAGCCGAGCGATCCAACCTCATGTTGTGGACTAGTCCAAAGTTCACTCTGGTAGGGGCAATAGTTGTGGTCTTAGTGCTTCTAATCTACACAATTTTAGCTCCAGCCAAGTAATTTCAATGTGCTCTTTTACAATAATATACCACTGGGTGAAGATGATTATTTTCTTCATTAGTTTGGGAATTTAAGGCAATGTTCTGCCCAGAATGAAGATCTTCTGTGTACATAAATTATCCATAACCACTGTCAGAATGTTTACTTTCTACATTTTGTATGTCAATGCCCATTTTTTCTCCTTATTTATTCGTTTATCTATTTTGCCTTTTAGTTGGACTCTGGCATCTTCAAGTTTATCACTTGTAGACGACACAAGTCAGGATAAAAAATAATGTTAAAAAGAGAAAAGAAACTAACCCCATGCAGATAACGAGATGTTTGTTTTCATGCTAATGATCATCAAGTTAGTTAATCCCTATCTGTATCAGCTGGTAATTTTTAAAATTTTTAGGTAGACTTGAAAATGCATGGATTATATTAGAGTTTTTTTATTGTCTTGCGGAAGAGAGGTGCCAATATACGCAGGTAATTGTAGAAATGATCAAATTTTACAATTGAAGCCATTGTGGAGGACCATTCTACCCTGAGCGACATCATTAGCTAGCTCTTTAAGGTGAATTTGTGTAAGGGCATTCACAAAAACCAAAGTCGCCATCTTAAGCCATACTTTCACACAGTTATTTCATCTATCACTTTGGAGCAATGCTACCCACGCGCGTTCGCGCGCCTGTGGCTAGACCCCCTCGTCACTTTGATAAGTTGAAGAAGGAAATCTTAGTATTTTTAGGAACTCTTGGTTGCGATAGAGATTTATTTTGGAAATTATATGATTTTGATTTAGATGGAATAACTTTCCAATAACAAAAGATGATATGGAATGGGGGAGAACAGACAGGAGCTTTCGAATTTTCCACCAATTGAATTTTATAGTATGAATTCAACTAACTATAATTGTGGTTCAAGCATAGAACATATTAGCTCTCATCAAAAAATGACTTTTTTTAGTTTGACATGCTAGGTGAAGTATTAGGCAGATGTTTGAAAAGAAAGGGGCATAAAGAAGAAGAAACACCAATAGAGTCCTCCAATTCATAGTGAGTTATATCGATCTGCTGTAATAGACGATTACAGCGCCAAAAAAGAGCACGAGGACTGTGTAATGTAGAACTCGGACTTTGTGTGAGGTGCATTTGGTTCCTGTTGTTCATGGTGAATGCCATAATGGCAGGTCTTGTTCTGGTTCTTGGATCACATGGATACTGAAACTTCATAGGGATTCCATAAGGTATTGGTGCATATGTTTCTTGGTTTCCTCTAGTGTAAAGTCATAAGGTCAGGTGCTGATCTTGAACTCAGAGAGGCACAACCATGAACTCTTAGAAGTTATAGATACTCTTTAGTTCAAGTGGACTTTGGAAGCATAATTCTCATGAGACTAAGTCATATATGGTTTTCCTATTCCTTGATAACTAGGTCTCTATGGAGAGAAGACAGCCGGTTGGCTGCCTCATTAATGAGGGACAACATGGAGACAACAGCAGTAGTTAGTCCATGGTAGCGGTTTGATTTAGACATCACTTTCTTGGACCTTGCTGGTTGTTTGTCATATAGTTTGATCAGCCTCATCCTTATCTTTAATGGATTTTTATGGATCTTGATTTTGTCCTGTACATTTTTTGGAAGTTTTTTTTTTTTTTAAATTTACAGAGACCACCTTTAAAACAGGGTGGCAATATGAAAACCACATTTAAAGTTCAATTAATATAAAAACCACCTTCAGAGTGGTTCTGGTAGCAATCGACCACCTTCACCTTGATCATTAAAGTTGAAACCTATTCTGACCGGAGAAGAAGAAACCGATTGCTGAGCTTACTGAGATGGCAAGAAGATTGAGTTAGCGGAGATGAAAACAAAAAGTTGGAATGCGAGAACCAAACAGTCAGAGGATTTCAATCGAAAATTCATCAGAAAAAGAATTGGTTGCTACCGGAACCCTGGTGGTTTTTCTTTTAATTGCATTTTAAAACAGGTGGTTAATTTCTATGAAAAAAACCCTATTCGACAAGTGTGTGTTTCCGACTTCTTCACTGTAAAATTCTGGTCTTGGAGCCCGTGGTCTTCCTGTTTATTTAGCATTCTTCCTCTATTCTGATCAAATTAGTTAGTAATAGGATATCTGAACGGGATCGACGCATAATCTGATCGCCGCCGATTTACTGGATTCTGCTTTCCATAATCCTTGAATTCGTCACTGTTGATTCGCTGATACACTGTCAATTGTTGTATGATGCGTTCGACTTGGTAGCAGTCAAGTCACATTTGGGAACAAATGGTCCAGTCTTATGCTTTCTAGTGAAGTTATAATACGCACATGTGTTTTCTGTTTGCAAATACTTAAATGCCAAGTTACTCAAAAGTCAAACCTCTTATTCTCTGCAGGATAAATAAGCACTCAAAGCAGAGATCTCGGCCAGCTTCTTTATTTGTTTTCTTCCTTCTGTTTGAGCTGTTATCTTGCATGAATTACAACCCCTTTCGCTTCTTTCTCACATTTGTCAAGTTCCACAAAACTGGTTAATTTCAATGGCACCTAAACGTAACGATTGTCTAGAAAATGGGAAGAGATACCCTTTGCCAAAACGAGGGCAGATCAAAGCGAAGATATTTTTGAGTCTATTCGATTTCGTTGTTGAAATTTTCTCGAAGAAACGGGAAAGGGGAGTGAAGAAAGTCGAGAGGTCGGCAGTTGGAAACTCATCTCCGAGATTCTGTCTGGGGTTGTGCATGTCAAAAGTGCATCAAATAGATTTAGGTGCTTCATGTTCCAAACATGGATAATCAATCTTCTATCATTTACTGTAAATCTAGATTTATGATGATGTATGGCAGGAAGCCAAAAAAATGTGTTTTCTTAGANTCTTCTTTATTTTGGTATGTGCTTTCAAATATTTAATATTGTACATAACCCCTTGAATTCTTAAAACCATAAAATGACAGTTCTATGTAAAAAGATAGTGTGAAAATAGCTAAAAATGAGGATATTTCAGTCATCTTTTGGAATATCTGAGATAACTTGAAGATCTCAAGAGGTTATATAACTACTAAAAAGGTAGGCATATCAAAATAAAGGAGACTTACAAAGGTTATATCTCAGAAGACCCCAGAAATTATATGTACTGAATAATCAATGAACCAATTTGTTGTAGCCTAATTTGTTAGTGCAACAAATTTTCTTGACTGCTTCTGTCCAAATGGCCACACTGTAATTAATAATATAAAGGAATACAAATGTGTGTATGTGTAGGCTATATATTGAGGCATCCTTAAATAATTCAAAACCGTTTAGATACATGGGGTATACTTTTGAAACTTATTGAATTTTTGAACATATTTTCCTACTATTTTTCAGTTGTTATGCTTGTTCTCAAAATTTAGAGGAAATGCATTTTGTTTCTTAGTTGTCCCTCAGCTCTACTTTCTGGTTAGTAAAGAGATTTCAGGTGCAAGAGAGAATTCCAATAATCACATTTTTGTTGTTTTCTAGATGGAAGAGATTGGTTATTGCTGTTGCCTGATCCTGATATGTTGCAATTTTGAATAGTTAAAGAGCTATTGTATATGATTACAATTTATCACATGCTAATTGTGACAATTCCTCATATTAGTCCAGAATCCAGATGTTTCAAAACCTGTATTTTGTTACGGAGTCTTGAAAGAGTTTCATTCTAACAAGATATGTGCAGATTCATGGAGCGCATAAAGGATAGAATTTTTGTGATCGACGAGGATCGTGCCGAGCTTGCCTGGGGCAAAGACCAGGATAAGGTGCTGCTTTCTAACTTTTGCATTTATTTTCCCTTTCTTGTGGGGGACCAAAGAAATTTCTCTGGGTACTAAAAGACATGTTCCATCTCTTTTGCCTTCCTCGAAAGTTTTCGACAAGGATGGCACTTTGTATGTGGCAGCGCATAATGGGGTTCAAGACCCCAATCTCTCTTCTTCTTCTTCTTCCTCTTCCTTTTTTCCCCTCCTGTTTTTGAGTAATCTGGACAAGGTGACCAGAGAATTTATTAACTGGAGAAATTAGATGCAGAATAGACGCGAAGAAAATATCGTTGTTTTGAACTTATCTAGGTCTGTAACGTATTGAAATTGCCAACTTCACCAGGCCCCTTTACTACTACATTGTTAAACAACCGGAAGGGATCAATTATTTGTTAGATTGCAGTTAGGTCAAGATCCACTGGAGGAAATAAAGTTGCTTAATTGCATGATTATTGATTGAATATCAATCCAGAAAGAGTGACAAGAGTGCAGGCTCTTGGGCATCTTTAGTAGTATCCTACGATATCAATCTGTTATTAAATTGCTCTGTGACCATGTGGCTCAATGGAATGATATTTAATTTATATTAAAGCATCTTTATCTCTCAATAGATTGAACAAGTGCAATGTGCAGATATCTGACACTTGATGAGTGTGATTTATGGTGGTCCTACTATCAATTTTGACTCCTCTGAAGCTTTTGAAAGATTCCTCCTACAAGTTCTTTGAACTATAAATATCTCCTATCACCAAGACTCTTTGCACCAAAATTGTTCCTCTTAAATCTCTCAGCTTTTGTAACTCTCTCTTGTACTCCTCTCACAAAGAATTAATGCCTGTATTAATGGAGCTTCTTCAAGTCTCATCCCCTCCTAAGCAAAAGAGGTTTCTTCCAAAGAGAGGCCAGATCAAAGCCCAGATATTTGGAATCCTTATTCGATCACTGACGCCAAAATCTTCGAAGAACTGGACGAACAAATAAGAAACTTGATCAGTTTTCAATTCACAATCAGTTGGGTTGTCATTTTTTCTTTCTTGTTTCTTTCTTTATTATTACGGTAAGAACAGAGGAAAGCAGAGCCAGTTGCTTGTTCTGTTTTTATTGGTGATGTCCTGTAATTATAAATTATGTTGTAAATAAATGATCAGAAGAATGAAGGAATTTTGAGGATTATGGGACTTATCATGTTATTTTTCCACTGGGGGAAGGGTATATGTTATATATTTGATCATATCTTGGTAAGAAAAGAATACAGGATGATCAATAGATACTTGTATTTCTAGATCCTACATCTGCAAATACATTTTTTGAGGGGAAAAAAAATTATATAATGTTCACTGTTGTATATGTGGATTGTGGAGTTTTTAAGTACCTAGATTGTATGAGAGAGCTCTTTGACCTTAAGAAAAGTCGGTAG